GTATGAAATACTCCTAAGTTGTAAACTGCACAAGGGCAAAAGTGCATTTCCTTTGCTGCATGTCTTATTTTGAAACCTCAGAGATTTGTGAGTGGGTTTGCAAAAGCACAATCCATTTGACCAACTCATGGAAAACTGGGATACAAGTTGGGATAATCAGCCTGATTCCTCCTATCCTTGCATCTTGAGAGAAAATGTAATCTGCTAAAATTCTATGCTCATTTTGTTTGGATATTAAAACGTGCAAAAGCACTGGAAAAGCAGAGCCAGTAGTCCCAGTTCTTACACTGTACCTAAGTAAATCAGGACTAATTCAATTAAATTCCTGGCCTCCTTTTTTTATACAAAATAAATATGTTATTTCCCTCTGAAGTTTCTCTACCCTGCTAGGGCAGAACAGGGGGCAATGGACTTGTTTTGATGTAAAACTAGTAAAACCAAAGACAGGATCAGATTTGCTGACTAAAAATATCTACAGAAGAAAAAACTGGCACCTGATCCAAGGGGAAGTAACAAATGCATAGCTGATGCGGAATGATAATGGAGTATACCCACAGAAATGATTGCAAAGTTAATCTTAAAAATCAAATAACTTAATTCTGATCCCAGTGATTTTTATTAAAATCAACTTGAAAGGAATGTCGAATGATTTGGTACTGATGTTACTTCAATTAGTGGAAAAGTGTAAAAAACAAAAGGAATAAAATACTTTTAATCTTAAAAAAGGAGAGCTTCCTGGGGTGTGGGGAAGATGTGTATGTGCTGGAACCATGATAAAGCTTCCCTGTGAGGAATAATGAGTTAGTGAACCTTTTTCAAGTACAACACTTTTCTTTTTGAAGCTAATATTTGCCTTGTAGTAACAGTGTTTCACAGTCACTACAAAGTGCTTGTTCATTTCTATTGCCAGGTATATGCTACGGCCACAGTCAGTGCACATAAATGAATAGGTGCCTATCTTTCAGTTGCCTTTTAAAGTGTGATCTATAATGCTAAATCAGTTTCGGGGCTCTGGCTGGCACAGGGGATTGACAAAAGTTTGCTAGGGTGTGTTTTCCCTGGCAGTGCCATTTATAATTTAGCCTTCACCCAGCGGTGCCTGAAAACTATTCTGATTTTACCCAAACCCAGACAAGAGTCTAGAGCTGAAATTCCGTGTGTCTACAATTGGTTGGAGAATTACCATGGATTCAGATTGCCCCTTCTTTTTCCAACATTTTTTCTGCAGCTCCGACATAAACGAAAGCCTCATGCAAGAGTTCTAGGCAAAAGGCAAAAATATGCCCTGCATATATTTGTTATAATATAGCAAATCTATCTAGAAAATAATTCTGCTGGTGCTTTCAATGTATTTTATTCAGTCAATAAATACAGATAAAACCAGAGGAACTAATCAACAGCTTGCAGGTATAATCTCATTACCTTTGTAACTGAAGGTAGTGACAATAGTTAAATCACCAACACTAGTGATCCATTCCCTAGCCCTCTGGCACAAAGGGGATTTGCTTTCATCAAATATGATTGTCCCAAACTGGAAGAGCCTTGCAAAGGTGCTTGCATTTTCTCTGCTGTGGTCTGGTTGGTAAATAAGATACCCAGCTCTCCTTGAAGAAGGCAAGAGTTCTCAATATGCCAGAAAACACGCAGCAACGTATAGTAACAGAACAAGAGCAAATCGAACCACATTTATGTGATATTCTAATACTCTCAAGAAATAGGGAGTAGACAAACTTGGATTGATCCTATAGCTTATGTTGAGAAATCTCATTTTAATATGCAGTTGAAGAGAAAAAAATAATCCAGTAAAAAATACAATGCCTAACAGATAACACAGAAGTTTGCTTCATAGTATTAACACCCTGGTGGCTGAAAGCTATGAATTGCTAAAATCTGTCTTGAAATACAAGTAATCGAATGACAACATGAATATGGTCCTAGAGAGACACAGGCAGCGTGTAGCACATAGCTGCTTCCAGCATTTTTGAGGTATTACTTGGGGGGAAAAAAAGCACAAGTAATTTAGCATTGTGATGAATGGCTATAAAAAAGAGGGGATGTGAAAAAGCCAGATCGGGACTGACTATAAAGAGAAGATGAATTCCACAAATCTGGCATTCAGTGATAAACATCCTGTACTCTACAGCAAAGTGCTCTGAAAAACTCATGCTGTGAAAAAACAGAAAGGTAACCTCTACATTAACTGAGATAAAGACAGATGTGAATTTTAACTCCCCATAGTTAACATTTATATTGTTAAAGGTAGTGATTATTAGTATGTATCAATTTAACAGTAATTTAAATAGAAATAAAACGTTTACTTTGAATACTACAGTCCTGAGATACAACCAAAATTTGTTTTTCTAATTCTGCAGACAGAATTCACCCACTGTTACTAGATGAGTGTGGTCCAGAGCCTAAGCTTCTACTGAAGAAATTTTCTAGTCCTTGTGGTTGCAAAGATAACTCTTAAAACGTGAAGTGACTGTAAGCAAAGAGGTCTGCCCAAGTATGAAGATGGCCTGGCAGAACAGGTCTGCAAGAAAGTAAACTCTGAAAACAACAATTTAAATTTCTATAGTATAATCTCCATTGAGTTTTAACTGTAAAAATGTTAAAAATATATAATTCATAGGTTGTGTTTATCATTGAAAGAACACAACTAATTTTTGCATGCAGAATGCAATGGTGTCAGTCCTTGCACATTTGTGCAGATGAAAGTATGGTTCCTTGTTCTCTCTTTTCCACTTTGCACTCTTGCCCAGGACAGATAGACTGTGGCACATCACACATACTGCATTTATTGGAAATGCTTGTTGTGCCATCAGTTCATCTCCATCTCATGCACTTGAAAATAAAACTGTAGTGAAGTTTAAATCTATTTTAGTTCCATAAAACAGTCTCAGGTCTGGATCTGACCATCTTCAAAAATTCAGCAAAATTAGGTTTTAGAAGCTTTCAGAAGCTTGGGTTTGGCTTATAATTGTTATTCCATAGTGTATCATTTGCTGTCTTCCTCTGAAGCAAACAAAAACATCTCCAAATTTAGATGGTACCATCAAAATAGTCTGTGTTCTAGCCTTTGTTCAGTAAGACTTAATATAAATCCAATGACTGCACAGTAGTAAAAATTATTTAATTTTCCAGTAAGACAATTATTATTACTGCCTTTAAAAATCGCCCCGTTTATACAGGGTCTACAACATCCACTAGGATGTTGACAAAGTCACATATCTGACTCAAGCACTTGATATTTTCATTTAACATCTAATGCTTTCTATTACACAACTACTTCGATAGAAGTTGATAACATCATAAGAACTGCTGGGCTATATCACACAAAGAACTCATGTTACCTCTTATTCAGTATCCTACCCCTGACAAAGGCTCAGTAATAGAGACTTAGGGAAGAAGATTGAAAAAACAGTAGTGCAAGAGTGACTTTTCCCCTACTGGTGAGAAGGTGTAGTGACTTCGTTTTTCAAAAGAACTATTCATGGTGACAGTAAGATCCCTTTCTTGAGTGGAATCAGCTACTCAGTACTTTGTAGGGACATAATAATTTTTCACTCATTACATTTACTTACATTGAATGTTACCTGCCATTTTACTGCCAGGCACCTAGTAAAAGGAGATCCTCTGTGACTCTGCAGTCAGTTGTAGATTTGACTGCCCTCAATAATTTTGTATCCTGTATTTTGTATGTATACTTGTTCAAAGCTTTAACAATTATAGCTAGAAAGATTACTGTTTACATGCAAATTATTCACAACTGTTCACATGAATCATTGTATTAATATTTGTTATGTAAATGCCTCCTTGGAAATACTAAACTCCAGCCACTCATTCACATCTTTCCAAATGGATGCTTTTCTGTTGCCTTGTAGTACAGCCCACTTGTATGTATGTGTCGTGATTTAACCCTAGCCAGCAACTAAGCCCCACACAGCCGCTCGCTCACTTTCCCCCGGTGGGATCGGGGAGAGAATCAGAAGAGTAAAAGTGAGAAAACTCGTGGATTGAGATAAGAACAGTTTAATAATTGAAATGAAATAAAGTAAAGAAGTAGTAGTAGTAGTAGTAGTAGTAACAGTAATATACAAAGCAAGTAATGCACGATACAATTGCTCACCACCTGCCGACCAATCCCAAGCCCATCCCCAAGCAGCGATCCCTCCCCCCGCGGCCAGCTCCCCCAGTTTATATACTGCGCATGACGCCATACGGGATGGCAGAGCCCCTTGGCCAGTCTGGGTCAGCTGTCCTGGCTGTGCCCCCTCCCAGCTTCTTGTGTGCCGGGCAGAGCAGGGGAAGCTGAAAAGTCCTTGACTGGTGTAAGCACTACTTAGCAACAACTAAACCATCAGTGTGTTACCAACATCATTCTCATCCTAAATCCAAAACACAGCACTAAATCCGCTACTAGGAAGAAAATTAACTCTGTCCCAGCTGAAACCAGGACAGTATGATGGTAGTCCTTTAAAACATTATATGGAACAAATTATGTATGTACAATATTTTCTCCACACACTTAAGAATCTGGCAGTGAATACTGTCATGAGTTACGTAGTGGTACATTTACAATGACAAAGAATCTACTTGCGTGCAGCATGAGAGTTTGGCTCTGAGGTATTTCATTATGAACTGTGAGTTACGCTTTGACTGCTTGGTTCTGGGACGTGGTAATTGCAACCGTTTATGACAGGGTTGAGTTAGATTTTCATTATTCAATACTGGTGGCTGAAGCACAATAATAAAAACTTTTTTAACAATGCAAGTTACTATTACAGCAGTACAAAGTCAACACCTAAGTTTAAACTTTCACCCTCTGTGCTTCTATAGTAGCGGTTACTTCCCAGATTCACTCAGTACTAAGGATATGCTTGAGGCATGGAGAATTCAAGGTTACAATGGCTGTGTCTAAGACGAGAAATAATTACAATTGTTACATACTTGCTAAGTTATTGTTTAAATATTCTGATTATTTTATATCTTCTCTTTAGCTCCTTGCTCAGAAGTGGCCTTTTGGAGATTCTGAATTTGGACAGTTTCTCTGCAAATTCCTTCCCTTTATACAGAAGGCATCGGTGGGAATCACAGTCCTTAATCTCTGTGCCCTCAGTGTGGACAGGTACAGTATGTTTTACTCTTTTGACAGACACTGTTCTTGCCCTTACACTTTTCCTAAAACTGGGAGCGCTCAGTATGGTCTTCTTAGCAGACAGACTACAGTATAGATGTAACTTACATTCTGTTTTTTGATATCCTGGCTATAACAAAGCACCACATCTGTGGCCCAGAGTATAATAGGAAGCCATTGGACTAATTAACTTTACAGTTTTTTTAAAGGTATTTAAAAGCTCTAGTAAAGCATTATTTCAGTTTCCTTTACCAGACAAAAAATTATTGGGATTTGACTCAGTATTCAGACTTCTTTCTTTCATATGACCTCATGTTCGTTTTGTATTCGAACAGAATCATAATCTTTAGTCTTAAAAATAACTCTTTCAAGTCACTGCCTATGGACCATAATTACAGTGTTTATTTTGATAACTTTTATAACTAATTGAGCTTTATTGAAAAACACGTTGGAAACTTGCTTTGGTAGTTTGACGTTGATAGTTTGAAAATTAATGCCTCTGCTAAAACTGCTCAGATAGATACATAAGCTTTTTGCTAGAACAACAGCTAAGATGCTTTTGAACATGATTCTTTTATGCTTTTGTTCTTCATGCATATAAGACAATAGCAGATGAAGACTTCACTTCTGTAAAAGCTATTTTTATTGGTCTTGAGTTTACTTGATCATGTTCTAGTCCAAAATATCAGTAATTCTGATACAAAAAATATGATAAAAAAATATATTATGTGTATTAGTACAGCGATGCAAAGGTAGAAGAAACTTTAAAATTAATCTTGGTTTGGTTTTACATAAAAAGTTAATGTACAAGGTTTGCAACAGATGAGTAACTTAGTAGCATCTATACCTGAAATACAGTTCCTTATTGCATTAGAAACTCATTAGCTGAAGCCAGAAACAAAAAACTGTAATGCAGGCAAGTGTTCTATTTCCATTTTTGAGTCTGAGAACTATAAAAAGAATTCTGTTTCTCAAACTATATCTGCCCAGCATAAAATACGATCCCATGGACTGCTCTAAGGAATATATCATAGATCAAGCACAGAAGAAACAGAGAGTTTGTTAGATAAGTTCTGAGCAATGCAGCTTCACTAGATTTAGTCCTATTGTTACATACATTTTCATAAATTGGAAGTAACTCAGCTGAAGCTACCTCTTTATATATGTGTATATATATACATTTACAAGCACTGATTTGTTAATCCTCACAACAACTAAATGCTGTTTCCATTTGAGTATAAAGTCTTGTATGAGATCAGACTCAGACTATTTAATTTCCTCCCCCGAGTTTACACGCTTTGCCAAGGACATATTCTTCATCATCTGGTGCTACTCTAGTAAATGGTTGCAGAGAATGTGTGTTAGAAAACAGATGTACACAGCCAGATTCTGATATTGGTTAACATGAAGTGAATCTAGGTTAAATTACCACAAAATCAGGATCTGAGAGCACCTTCAACAAGTCAGGTTGGGCACTGGAAGTGGCGTAGTCACATTCATACAAAATTCCACATCAGCTAGTGTTTGCTTTTTAGTACGGAAAATGAGTAAATATGGAGTTGTGTGCTGTCACAGCTGGACTGTTTCTGGTCTACAGGCAAGTTAATTTTTTCTTAAAAAAGCTCCTGAAAACTCTCTCATTTATAGTTATTTTGGGTGTCTATATATGGAATTGCATTCTATGAGGTAGAAAAAGACAGAGTCAATTGGTATATTGAATTCAGAGCTCCATAGCTTTGATAATTTTTGACTCTCTGTCCCTCTTGCAGACTACGGCCTTAATTTAGAAAAAGTTGGGGTTTTTTTTTTCCTACAAGGGCTGTTCTCTGTGCTAACTACATCCCGTTGTGAAACTCCACTCATTACTACTGCCCCTCGCACAAAGTGACTTGCACTGGCAGTGTATTAAGGTTTAACTGTGCATGCCCGAGGGGAACAATGTCCACTCATACTTGGAGAGGGTTTTAAGAGGCTGACAGAAAACACCAAACCAGCCATTCACCCTTCAGAGGAAGCTCACATTTGTTTCAGATGCTTCTCGGGCATTTTTAAACTCTAGGTCTTGATGGTGACGATAGTCTGACTCTTTTTCTAAACAGTGCCTGACTGTGACTAAGAGGAAGGATATTTCCCTTCCTGAGCTTTTACTCTTGCTTATGTCTCGGGCATAATGATTTTGATGAAGAAGTGGTTTTAAGAAGAAGAGTGAAGATATGGATCTTATCTAATATGTATACACCCTCTTCTTGCATAGAACAGTAATCTCAGCGGAGGTACTTTCATCTGGCCCAACTTCCAGTAAGTGTATTAGATATAAGTCAAGATTTTACCACTAAAACAAAGCTCTATGAGCTTTATTGTATTAAGAGCTTTGCAATCAACACACTGCTGGCTATCTTTAAAATGAGTAACAGCTGTGATCTCTCACAACAAAAAGGAATAGATTGATGTCCGCAACAGTAGTCTCATTTAGGAACTGTTCTGACACTAATCTTGACAGTGACTGCTTCTTATGTCCTTTATCAAGTCTCTTATCTTTTCTGTATTGCTTTTCCCTCTTATATAGGGCTGGTGATACTTGCAGAACAGAAATATGTTATACTAGTGGGCCGTTCGAACAACTAATTTTCTAATGCAGTCAAAAGGAACAGGGAAACAAAAGCATCTACTCTGTAAGACAGCAGGCATAGGGGACTGATAGTCCACAGACAAGCTATAGCCCATTTGTTAATTTTCATATACTCCCTGATTTCACGTCATTAGGCCCACAATACATTTTCTTTTTTAATTCTGATTAAATACCACTATGGTAAAGTTCATCCAAATTGTTCCAAAAACCAATCTGGGCCACAGTGAAAACCACAACCACGCTGCATTAATGAGACCAATGCTGGAAGGCTAACAAGAGTTCTAGAATTATTCTTTAGCAAACAATGATGACATCACGGACAGGGTGTAAAAAAGCTTCAGAAATGATTCAGTGGCCTTACAGATCTCAATTTGTTGCTTATCAAAAACGACACTTAAGAAGCCACTTAAATATAATATCCAAGTACTGAAATACAGGTGATGTATCAGCTATCCATGGGGTCTTTAGCTTAGCAAAGAAAGATATAATAAGAACTTATAGAACAAGGTTTCAGCCAAATTCCAAATGAAAATAAGGTACACGTTTTTAACAATGAGGGTGATTAACTACAAGAAGAAACCACCAGGGAAAGGTGAAGGTGTCCTGCTCTTAATGTTCTCAGATCAAGACAAGATGTCCTTCTGAAACAAATGCTTTAAGCAAGTTATAACTAGATAGGAGCACAAAATATTTAATTGTATGTATGTATACTCCATGATGTAACGTTCCTTTGTCCTTAAATACTGTGCATCTCTAAATATAAGGAGCAGGAGGGACTACAGCATCCATGAAAAGCAAGCTGGAATAAATAGCTAAGAATGGGAGAAGAGGGAGGAGAAGAAAACAGAAGAGAGAGAGCAACTGAAGGGCACAATATACTAAAGTTGACAGCACGTGCATGACCAGTAGAAAATGAAAAGGGGAGAGAGGAGTCACAACATTAAACAGAGAAAAGGAAATGACCTGGAAAAGAATTGAATATTTTAGACAAGGTTGGAGACAAAAGGGAAACAAACAGAAAAAAGTAAGACAAAACACACGCACACAGATTTTAGATTGGGGAATTAAATATAATGCACGATGCATGTATTTTATGTCAGTGCCCTGGCAGACATCCTGTATTTTCTAAGTATGAGGGAAATAAACCCTGCAGTATTTTCCCACTCCTAATTATGGGAGGTTTGTGGCTAGACAAAAATCCTATATATTACATAACTCACAGAACACCCACCTGAAAAATTATACTACCACTATTTTTCAAATCACTCTTACAGCAGTGAGTAAAGAGACCAAGTAATTGCAGGCTAATATGCATTCAGCAAATTCTGATCTAATTACTGAGCTGCTTTTGCTTTAGCTGAAACCATTCATAAAATTATTCAGCCAATAATTCCTTCTCTGATAGTTATTTGAATTGTGAACTGAAAAAAAAATTGCTAGTAAAATACATACAGGACCCAAATCCTTACTGTTGTGCAGTATCTGATCTTCTCATGTGCAAAACAGATGTAACTCAAACAGAACAGGTACAAAAATGCAAGAAAGGAAAGAACTGGATTCACAATTTTCAACCCATTTGTTGTCACTTACATAGTTACACAGATGACACAACACAAACTTTACATTTCTTACTTGAAAAATATGTACAGTCTACCAAGAACATCATTCAGTCAAGGATGAGATAGTATCATGTACCTTGTGCAGCTGATGGGACCAACTGTAAAATTGCCAGTCAGTAGAAAGTAAATTTCAAATTGATTGTTAAATTTCCAAAGTTCACAAATATTTGAGTATTTGTGTGAAAGGTTATGCTTCAATGAATATTCCATTTAGTCATTAAAGCCAAAATTTAATATTTGGTAAAATGAAATATGAGAGGATCACAAATTATTTAAAATTAGATTTGAATTTTAATATTAATAAATATGTGTGAGAAGATATGATGCTGAATGTTACTTTCTCAATTATCTCAGTGTAGTTTATTTGTTTCGATGCTCTCAGAACTCCAGTCTCATAGACCCTCTCCCCATGAGTGAACCATTGCCTCCCTCCCTTCTGATATTCTTTGAAGATAAGGATGCCTTTAGAAGATGTTTTTATTTTCAATCTGCAAGTCCAAAATGTAGTTTGCTTTAGTACGTTCAAAATCTTTATACATACATTTCTGTTAAAATGTTGTACTGAGAACCTGTCCATAGTATACCTGTGACCATGCTGTGTATGATATTGCTATAGATATCAAAGCAAAAGTTTCTAGTCTGCTTACTGCAAGAATGATGGCATACAAGGCTCTGACACCTTCCAGTGGTGTTCTGCAATAATGCTTTCTGATATTTTTTGCGAGGGGCTTACGGCCTGATCTTGCATTCATGCATCTTCCCTCCTTTAACATTGAGGCTGCAGGGGATTTAATTCACAAGCCTTCCATCCTGTTAATAAGCACACTACCAAATGAAAAAGGGGGTGTGATACAGGAAATCAGAAGAAATGCTGTGTCTGTGAATCCCAAATTAGTGTCTTGGTTAGAGGAGGGGTGAGGATGCCTTTTAATAACTCTAAATTTTACTGACCTCTATAGCCTAGGTCCTATATCCCTTAACTAATGTTTTTCCTATTGGAAGCTCTTCATTCCTTCCATCTCAGAAATTCAAAATCCAATACTTCCCAGTACACTCAAAGCATCCTAACCCAGAGTTCTCAACTACTCTTTTCCTCAAACCCTTGCCTTCAACTCCATGCCAAAATTGTGTATTCCTTCCAATCACCTCTCTACCATCCCATCCTAATCCTTCCACAAGCTAATCCTCCAGCCTAAAGCTTTCTGATCTAAATTCCCCTGTTCTTTCCTTCCCTTGCCAAAGCTCACCCATCCCTGCAACTCAGAGCCTACATACTTACAAACTCTATCCTCCTGCTCTGTTGAGGGCATCTCCTTTCCCCATACCTTTCCCCTTCCTTGTGCCTGCTGATATGCCCTTTTGTACTCAGTGAGCTGCTGTCATCAGCTAAAATCACCACCCCATTTGCTTTCCTCTGAAAAGTTTAACCTTGGCTCATGCCTTGGAAAGGTAAATAGAGGTGGCAGCTGCACATATCCAAAGGTATCTGCCAGGACTCAAGGGGGCAGAAAATGAGGGCATGTCTGAGGAAGAAAAGAATACTTGCACAGTCAGGACAGTAAAATGACACAGCTCCTTACAATTTATAATCTGCTTCAGTGACTTCTTATTCTGACATTTTTTAAAGAAGATGAACAACGTTGCTTGAATTTTTTTCTCCTCAACTAAAAAAGACTGTTTCATCAGTGGATGCCATGATATATCTATGTAGCACTGTAATTCCAAATGGGAAGGTGCTATTATTTTGAGGAAGTAAAATAAGCAGTTTAGAAACTGTTACAACACTAATGACATAAAGCGTTCCAGCATACATTTCAGATTATTACAAGACCAAAAATAATATTTGTTGTTTCCATAATTTTTAGATAGCACTGTATTTCCTAAATTGTTGCGAATGCTAAGTAACTCGTTTACTGCAGTTATTGTTAGACAACAGTTAAGTCTGCTACTGAAAATTTTATTTATGGACTGGTTTGTACCCTATCTTGTATGCCTATCAGTCTTCTCCAAATAATTTTTGAACCTTTTGACCAGAGTTGACAAAGAGGTTGAGGTCTAATAAATTTCTACAAGTTCCTTGAAAACTGGCAGACAAGTAGAGGAGAAAGACCCTCTCAGTTCCCTGACTGAGGGAAAGCTGCAGCCTGGTAACAAGAATCCTCCAGCACTGGAGGGACAGAGAAGGTAAAGAGAGGAAGAGGAAAAGAGAGAAATGCATGGGCTGTATTTGAAACTTCTTTAAGAGTTCTCACCTTTTACCAAGATTACAGTTATGACATGCATACACATAGGAAAGCAGGTTTCAGTAATTCCACTTTTTACAGAGAAACTTGCTATCTAAGGGATAAAGTAGTAGGAAAATATGTTGGGTTTGGCATGTACAAACTCCTTAGCCATGCACTTCAGTTTCTCATCAGAAAGGCGATGCAGAGGCCGAGAACTGTCAGACAGTCCTAACTAGCACTCAGTTGTAGTCTAAGGCAAATACAGAATATGCTGCGTAAAACCAGTATTTTTAACATTGAGTAGCGTAAATAGAACAAATGCATTTTCATTTAATCAAGAGTATTTTCACAGTATTTCATTGCATGGAAGCTGACAAGTTCACTTCAGATAGCACCCCTATTATAGCTGAGGTAGCTGAAGGAGATATCTGCTTTGTATCTATTAGAATGGCTTGCGTGCCTGGAAGCTTTTTTCCTTGTTACGTCAGCTGATGTAGTGAAAGATATAGTCTGTCCTCACAAACCTTCCCTACTTTAATTAGAAATCATTAGTGTAGTCCACATAGCAGAATTCCACACAATCCTGTGCCTAAGCAGAACAATTGCAGCCAGCTCGCTGCTATCCACCCCTTGAAGTGCTCTGCTGTGTCCAAGGTGGCTTGATAGCTGGCAGAGACCCTGGAACAGGCAGAAAAAAGCAATACAAGTCTAAGATATCAGCTTTAAGATTTTACTTAATATATGAAATTGAACCAAGATCTTTGAATTTAAGGAAGAAACTGAAGGTTGGAAACTAATGCCTGTCTCTTTCAGGTATAGAGCAGTTGCCTCCTGGAGCCGTGTTCAGGGAATTGGAATCCCTATGATCACTGCTATTGAAATTTTCTCCATTTGGCTTCTGTCCTTCATACTGGCTATTCCAGAAGCAATTGGTTTTGCTGTGGTACCTTTCAAATACAAGGATGAAGGTTATGTTACCTGCATGCTCAATCCTACAAATAGTTTTATGTTGGTAAGTAACATCCTTTCTTCTCTTTTTGGAATCCACAGTATATAGGTTAGACAATTAAGATGCTGGATTATAATACGCTTTATTCATCCATTAAAGTCCAAAATGTATTGAAATGTATATTGGTGCAAAGAGGATCCTTCATTTACAGTGACCCGTCTCTACTTTCAGCCAGAGATACTAAATGGGACTTTACAACATTTTCATTTTTTTACTACTGAGGATTTGCAATTTGGGCCTGCTTGAAGTACAATCAAGAGATGTATCAGGGTAGCCAGAGCCTTGGAAGGTATTGTGTTTCTAGGTATAACACCTTGGAGCTTGTAACTGTCAAAACCCATGTTTTACCAAGATTAGTCAGCATTTTGCATGCAGCAGTCAGCTCTTTTGGCAGACAAAGAAAAGGGCGGGGCCATGCTCTAACATAACTTTTCCTATTCTATATGCACTTACAAAGTCAAACAGAGAACAATCCCTTCATTTACAAGAAATCATGACTACAAATCTGACAGATTCACATCTCCAACCTAGGTAGCGTGGGCACTGTTAGCTGTCATCTAGATATAGCAACTCGAGCAAGAGAAGTGCCTGAGACACACCAGGCTGCTTTGGCACATTTCACAGCCCTCATCCTCTGTGCTACTGCAGCATTAACAGTTGCCAATACCCACATTAGCTTGCTCAAAGCAAGTCAGGTGAGTAGTCACTACAGAACTAATAGATCTTTACTGCATAGGGGGATAGTGATTTTCCGCCTGGCCTTACACTGAGGAAAGGGAAAGTGGTATCTTAATTTTTTCTTTGTGAACCCAAAGAGGGCCAGCCACTGTTCACCCAGTAATGAAAAAAAAAGAGTAATATTCTGTTTTGTCTCTGAGAAGGCAGAGAGTACAAGGTCTTAAGTCTTGAGGGAAAATTCATATTTTTTTCTGGACTAGAATTTTTCACGATCGAGTGCAAGTTTCTCGTTTTTGAATGTCTGGCACTTCTCCTTGTATTGGATCAGAACATGTCTTGCACTAGAACTGGGAAGGATAGGGCAAAATGGAGCTAGGAAATTTAGAAAATAAAAAGTGTGGATGATTCATGTTTTTCAGAGGAACATCCCCAACTTTGGTAGGGTTACACAGACTGCAGGAATGGCAGAAAGAGCAAGAGACAATTGCAAGAGAAGACAAAAGGAATTTCCTAGTGGAAATAATTAATGCAGGTGAAGACGGAGTGGAATTGTCCAGGACTTACTCTAGCTTTGTTTCTAAACTCTACAGACTATATGACTGTAGATACTGTAGTTATAATAATATGATTTATGACATGCACAGTGCAGCAAAATTCCCTTTTGTAATCGTTGTTTTTCTCCACAAATGTGCCTGGACAATCTTCACTTCCTCTCTCCCTAAGAAAAAGAAGAGTTTTGTCTTCCCTCTTCTCAAAAACACTTCCATAGGTCTTCCATAGGCATGCTAACTTTAATGATTATTGTTCTCTTCTTAATGTACTAAGTAGAATAGCTTGTTTTGTTTTATTAGCAGGAATTAGTATCTTTTGCTTGCTCAGCAAAATTCAAAAGCTCCGAATCTCCCTATGCCACTTTGATTTTCAAGGAAACAAACCAGCATTTATGTCCAAGCTGAGAGTAAATGTTGGACGCCTCAGTCAAAATGGAGAGTGTTGTGTTTCAATGCATTGCAAGCAAGTACAAACATGGGATTAAAATGGAAATACCATTTCAACCTTAACTATAGTATTTACTACCACAAACACCACAATAAACAATTACTAAACTTTGGGAAGGATTTATGATTAACTTTTGTTTTTAATAGGAGCTTTATTCATGCTTAAAGCTATCCTTGAAAGACTTAAAAGATTCATGCTAGACCATGAATCCCAAGAGGCTGAGTGCACTAGGAAACTTGTTTAAAATGCACATTTCCTGTAGCAAACCAGTTCCATGTGGGCTTTTAAGACAAACAAAAGAATGTCTACTTCTCTTAAATCAACCCAATTTTGTGCTTTGATGTAAGCTTTGTGAAACTCAGATTCCACAATTAATCATTTACAGACATTTTTGTGTAGGTTTTATAACTCCTCAAAGCCAGGTCCTCGTACAGAACTGACGCGTTGGTCAGGGTTGTGACACAGAACTCTGTGTGTGTTTTCTTGACTGACGGGCAATGCTCATGAAAGCTGGTAGACCGATATGACAGAAAGTGTTCCCTGTAAACATAGCATAGATTCACACAGGACACACTCTGTTGTGCTGCCCAACCAACATGATTCTCGTCTGACTTGGAGGAATTTGCCATGGAAAAGATAATTGTCTCCATGTATTTGTAATCTTTTTCTCTGCAGAAGGAGTGGTAATTAGATTTCCCCTCAGTACAAACTCTTCAAATATGAGGCATATTGTTTTCTGGTTTTCTGCTGGCAGAAGCTCTGTTCCCAGTGGGGGAAATTCTGCCCCCAAGGAGAGCACAACTATGCAGCAGACTGAAGCACCTCCTCACGCAGGGATGAGGCTAACGAGGAGGAGGAAACACGCTAATCAACACAATTCAAAATGTCCTGTGAGGTGGGGTTGTGGCCTAGATACCAGCAGCATACTCTAAATTAGCAAGCTCTCTAAGCAGCTAACTGTGTTGGGGCAGAGGGAGAAAAATCAAAAGCATTCCCTTTTTCTTAGTAAACCAACTTTCTAGTGTAACTAAAGCAGATTTAAAAATGAACATTATTAAATACTAGTCTATTAATTGTATCCCTTTTTTTCATCTTTCAAAGTTTAGTACCGTTCAGTTTTAAATGTAAACAAGATGTCAAAAGTTTGACTTTTTCAAACAGGATTCATATAATCCTCAGTTATTAGCATTTTGACATTTGGTGTGGGAACTATGATGTTACAAGAGCACATCCGCTAGGAATAAACAAGCTAGGGGAAAGATTATGAGAAAGAGGGTTCCCTTTTACACACATCCATCTCGGTAACTAATAACACAGAGACAGGAAGTATTTAAAATGTCGTTTTTCGGTGCACTCTTTTGGCTGAGCATAAAAGTTAAAAACCAAGATACAATATTTTCTCAAGTCTGAAAATATAATCCTCTACAGAAAAGAGTAATTTTACATGTTTTGTCAAATGTAGTATTTCCCATAAGACACAAATGTATTAACTTAAACCACAGCTTAAATCACAGCTAACACTTAAAATTACACAGCAAAGAACTATGACTCTATCAAGTCCCTCAGTGTCCTGTTAAAAAAGCCAAATAGTATGAATGGCAGGCAAAGGGTTAAAAGTAACTGTACCACTACAAGCCACCCGTCCTAAGCTTTGCATATATCAGACAAACACTTATGAAGTGGCTCCTATCTGCCCAGTACATAAGCAAACCAACTACCAATCTTTGCACTGATAACAAAAGGTGATTAAACTTACAAGACATTTTGAATTTTCCTTTTTTGGAATCAGGACAGAAGCCGTAGAGGTAAATGGCATTTCCTGAGACAGGCTTTTAGGAAGATTTGTTATCGCAAACTGACACTGTCTACATTTTGGCATGTCTTTTTCAGGAAACTGGATTCCAGTTTTTATGAATGAGTGTAAATGTTCAGAAAGCACAACCAAAAAAAATTCCAACCCAATACAGATTGCAACAGAGGTACAGGCAGGCTGTCCATAAGGTAAAATAAAAGTTTACACTGCCACAATTCCCATTTTGATGTTGGTCAAAAACAGATCAACAATAAGAAGGTTTACATAATTTGTGCTGTTTACCAATAGACAGATACTGGTATAGCAACTGTCACGCTTTCCAAGACCTTTCTGTGGTACTTCCATTGAATCATAAGAAAATCTCTTCTCTTCTCTTCTCTTTACCTTATCTACAGTTTTACAAAGATGCAAAGGATTGGTGGCTGTTTGGTTTCTATTTCTGCATGCCACTGGCGTGTACTGCCATCTTTTATACGTTAATGACTTGTGAAATGTTAAACAGAAGAAACAGCAACTTGAGAATCGCTCTCAGTGAACACCTTAAGCAGGTAAATATTAGGAACACCGATGTTTGAAAATACTGTTCTCTCTTTGAGTTATCTTAGAAATGTTTCAAAGCATACTTGAATACAATACATTACAGAAATAGAAAGTGAGGATGTAGGTTATTTATGACATTAAAGTATTCATTTAAACCCGGAACACAAGACTAAATCATAGTGTAAGGAGCTATTGAAGACAGCACGCTCAGGAAACTAGCCAGCGTCTTTCTTTTCTTAAGTATGTACGACAGTTGTGCTCTCCTGCTCTTTAACCTCAAATCACTACTGGCTAAATGCTTTGAAATGTAACTACAAAGATTTGCCAAAAAAATGCTTCTTTTTATTCATAAAGATGTGACTCCATGGGTCCTCCCTACTTTTGGCACACTTTGATATGCAACTTTAGTTTCATATAAAAAGCAATTGTAGAATAACCTGGTTTAGAATAGAGTGGATTTTTTTTCAGGGTTCTTGCACTGATGCAGTACCGCTACTATAGCTGCTTTGAAAAGAGCAACAGGAGAATAGTACAAACAAATGATCATAGAGTAAAGTCACTCACAGAACCGTCAGATCTCACTTCGCTGTTTTTGCAGCACTGTCTGATGTTTAATTCCTAACTGAAATTTTAAAAACAATCTGTAGCTTTTCCCCTGCGTTAACGTCAGCCCCTCAAATTCCACTCTTTCTTTCAAATTCCACATTCCCTAAAGCAGTCCCCTCCGCGTCGGAGTGAGTTCTCTCAGAGGTTCCTCCTCTGCTGGTTCATTCCTCACCGGGGCAGACTGGAAAACCCTCCCCTTGTACAGATCCTCCACTTTTTCCTCTCATCAGGCCCCAGGGCTTGCAACACAGCCTGTCCTAGGGCCACACACAAACTACTCCACCCATTAGAACTAGAATGGTATGTACAGGCTGGGGGAATCCACCCTCTAGCTTTCCCATCCCGACGTGCAGTGCCCAGCAAGCTACTCACACTGGTGGCTGGAGGATGACTTTATGCCACAATTTACAAATGCTTGTCTTTTTAACTATCACCTTTTGCCCTTCTTCCTTCCTTCCCTACAGCCTTGTCCACATTAATGTCTAGTCATGATCCTTTTTGTATTTTGATAAAAACGGCTATTCTAAGAAAGAAGAAACAATAATAGTCATATTCAAAGCCTAACAAGACTTACTGTAATCACACATTTGACTTTAAGTTTTTTAATGACAGAGCTTGGCAACGCTTGTTATTGTTACATTACAGTGGCAGTTTCAGAAGCGGTATTCTTACCCCTTCATATGCTTCTTTTTATCAAATCCATGCCTACCAAACACCACTGGTATGCATTGTCAAAAATCCACTAAAACATCTGTAAATCTCTAGAGCCATATAAAATATCCATTAAATTGAAATTATTTCCTGACTAAGTATTATGAGATTAAGCTGTAATACAGACATTTCTAAAATTTTGTTTGTAGAGGAACTATTTACTCAAGATCACATAGCAAGGATCACATAGCAAAATTCATATACTGTGCAGTATCCCTTTATGTAATGTGGTGCATACTAAATATAAAATAGTACATCAGAGAGGATCTGACATCCTGACTAGGTACACGGTCGAATGGAACTTTTACTGCCAATTGATTTACGTGCCTTGGGTTTACAGAGCGCCCCACATCAAGGATTAGGTAGAAGTGGTTTATCAAGCAGGCGTAATCCCAGTTTCCCTCATACATGAAAAAGTTTTCTTGCAGATTATGCATGTTTCTGAAGAACGAGGTTTATCTGAGGGATTGCCAGAAAACTAATCCAGTGTAGAGGAATAAGAAGGGCTGGGAAAGTAATCAGCTTCAGGAAAGCCCAGCAGTGGATTTTCCTTGGCTAACATCTATAACGTCCTGGCAATGATCTGTGTGCTCCAGCTGCTCCAGTCTCAGTGATGAGCAGGTTCTGTTGAGGATGGCCAGAATCAAAAACACAACAAGCCCCATAAAAACCAGTTCAGGGATATCAGGTAGTCTGGAAGCTGCAGTCTGGAAATCCTTGCATGCTTTATCTAGGTTACTTACTTCACTGACAACATCACTACACTACAATCATCTACCAATATGAATTAGGCACTCAGTCATAGTTATCTTTACTTCTTTTTCTAGCGCCGAGAAGTTGCAAAGACAGTTTTCTGTTTAGTAGTGATTTTTGCTCTTTGCTGGTTCCCTCTCCATTTGAGCCGAATTTTGAAGAAAATGGTATACAATGAAAGAGACCCCGGCAGATGTGAACTGCTCAGGTACTTAATTTTCTGTATCAATTGTTTATACTGAAAAAATATAATGCCGCACACTTGGAGTTTATGTGAGAAATGTCATTGTGCATGCAACTGTGGTGTTAGAAGAGCAACCACTTTGTTTTGTGACTTTTTAGCTGCGTCCCATTTTCAGGGGTTTCAGTTTTAATGAGGTAGCATCATTTCAATAAATGTTGTCTGTCACCATTGCAATCACTTTTTTCTGGCTTTTGTGAACTTCTGTGAGATAGGTTATTACAGACCTGGCATGGTACAAGATTAGATTGAGGGAGTTAGGTAAGAGAGAATTAGTTTCTGTGACAGAAGAGATTGTAACTACAAAGAGCACGGATGCTCCTACAGTATATGAACAGTTTAAATGTTTTGCTTTCTCTTTTGTTGCCTAGTTTCTTGCTGCCACTGGATTATATCAGCATCAACCTGGCAACCATGAACTCTTGTATAAACCCAATAGCTCTGTATTTTGTGAGCAAGAAGTTTAAAAACTGTTTCCAGGTAAGATCTTTTTGTAAGACTTTATGTCCAGTTAATGAACTGTATTAAACCACTGAGTTATTATCTATTTTTAGCAGTCGGGAGAAGAGGCATGGAAAGGAATGAAAGATTCTAAATTGTCTAGTTTACCAGCTAGCAGCTCACATAGCACACATACCAAACAGAAAGTGGAACTATCCACTTTATCTGAAATGCTAAACCAGTCAATAAGTTTGACATAGTCCTCATATGTAAACATGTAAACTGAGATAGACACGCTCTTGTAAGTACTATTTATCTGCACATGACATGTACATGAATAGAGTTTGGTTTATAACATATTTCCCACTCTAAATCAAGACAAAGAACACATACATAAGACACCGAGCTGCCTACAGTTAAACAATCCCATTAATGACTGAAATTTTCAGGCTTGAATACCAAAGCAGGCACCTGAGTTGACGTTGGTAATTAAATACGCATTATGGCTTTTACCTGCATTTTTCCAGTTCCTACACATGAAAATATATTTTAAGGGTAAAATAATTTCCTTGTGACACTGTGCCTCTACAAGTCCCCGTTCACCTAATAAAGGCAATACAGGAAGAAAGAAAACGAGAACATGCAGTGGTAAAGAAAGTAATGAAATGGAAAAGGAAGACTGAAATACCTTTATCTGCAAAGAAAAGCAAAAGACGACAGGACTGTACCACTAAACTTTAAGTCTGTGAATAGGCAACTCAAACTACTGAAAAAATGTAATAAATGATTAGAATAGGGAATACCTGTTTGTCTGCAGCCTGCTCAGACCTACAAGCTGTTTTAAGGGAGTATTTTCACATGATAAATAAGTCAGCTTTGCTTTTTACGGTCCCCTACTTCATTTGGGAACTGTGGAGAGGATAATATGCCTGAACTTGTCCTCAGGTGAAAGGGAGAAGTAACAGTGGGTACTACCAGGCTGCTCCTCATATCATTAGTTCATTCTTCCCATTTGTCCTTCCAAATAAAATTACCATCCAACAACTCTCATTAAAGAATTTTCAGCTATTATTTAATCCTTCCCAGCTTCTCATTATAGCTTACCCTTTTCCTTCTAGTATCAAGGTCATTGCTTCAGGCAATCTTTCCTTTTTGTATTTGAGTTTCTCAACCTACCTCCATTGCTATTTCACGTACCCACCCATAAACAGGTAGTACATATATCTTAAGTCTGGCTTTACCTCTCTGCAACACTCCCTTCTCACTGAGTTCACAGAAGTCATAGATCTACTGCTGCTATTGCCGTTGCTCCTCTGAGGCCTTAACTCTTT